TCCTCCTCATCCAGAAGCCCCACTGTTTCTCTGGATAGTTTCCTGCTCCGGATATATTTAAAAAAAATGTTTATTGTCTTGATCCTTTTAGCAACCCTCTACTCAAAATCTCTTTTTTTGCGTGCCTAATTATTGACTTGCATTTCTTTTGCCAGAGTCTGTGGTCCCTCCTGTTGAATTCCCTGGGGCAGAGCTTCCACTTTTTAAAAGAAGCCTTTTTACTTTTTCTAGCTTCCTTGACTTGTATTGTTAACCAGATACTTTCTTTTAGACTTGCTGCGCCTTTCCTCTCCTGTGGAACGCATTGTATTTGGGCTTCAGTTAGTGTGGTTTTCAATCGCTTCCAAGCATCCTCTAGGGATTTGACTCTTGTGTTTCCCGTTCCTTTTTACTATTCCCATCATTTTTGTAAAGTTCCCTCTTTAGGAATCAAATGTTAACCGTTTTGGACTTTAGGGGTAACTTTCCATTGATCTGAATGCTGAATTTAATAGCATTGTGGTCACTGTTCCTCATGACCTTTACATTGTTCATCTTCCTTTTTGTTTTTCCTTTTCCAATTAATCTTTGGCTTCTTTCACAGATTCAGTGCTCTTTGACAGTTTGTCTCTGATGATTTCAAACTCCTTTCAGAGAGTATCTTTTCCCAGCTGTATTTTTAACACATCTTCTGTTACTACTTGCAGTTTTTCATCTAGTTCTTTATGTTGCCTGTTAGTATCTTCATGTATTTTCTCAAATTCCAGCTTCAGTCTCTTCCTGTAGTTTTGATAGCTGCTGGTTCGCTTTCTCTGGAGCATCACATTTCTTTTGTAGGTCTGATCTGGTATTAGATACTATTTCTCTTTCTGTATCTGCTTGTTTCATCAGTTCTGCAGCGTTGAGATTCAAGCCCATGCACTATTGCCTTTGCTACTGAAGCTCCTGAAGGACTTTTTCTTTAATCCCCATAACTTCAAGAATTCCCCCTTCTAGTTTCTTATGTTGACCTCCCAGCTCCTCCGTTTTCTGCTCTAAACGAAGATACTTTTCTTTGTACTCCTTAATATTGCCTTCTAGCTCAGTACAGTATTACTGTTTGTCATGAAGCTTAGCAGTAACCTGTTCCAACACTGTAGTTATCTTATTTAATTCCTGCTGTTTAGCTTCCAATGCATTATGGCCAAATGATTCTGCAGATCTGCTCTTTAAGCAGCTTTCACTGCTTCCACCAACAGCAGCAATTCCGTTTTTGCTTTTATTGGCAAATCAAGTTGCATTACTTTTCCTTTGCTTTCATGTAACTATTTAGATGTAGAGCCGCCCATTCCCACGAGCCACCCCCTCAGGCACACTGAGCCGAAGCTGCCCATTCACACAAGCCACCCTCAGACACACGGGAGAAGAGAGAAGAGATTGGATTTATACCCTGCCCTTCACTACCCAAAGCAGTCTCAGAGCAGCTTACGAACTCCTTTCCCTCCCCCTCCCCACAACAGACACCCTGTGAGGCAGGTGGGGCTGAGAGAGCTCTGACAGAAACTGCTCTTTTCAAGAACAGCTCTTATCAGAACTAGGGCTTGCCCAAGGCCATCCAGCAGGTGCGAGTGGCGGAACCAACCCCAGTTCTCCCAGATTAGAGTCCACTCACTTAACCACGACACCAAAATGAGTGGGAGCTGCCCATTCCCAGGAGCCACCCCCGCAGGCACTTTGAGTGGGAGCCCCCCCATTCCTAGGAGGCACCCCCTCAGGCACACTGAAAAGAAGAAAGAAGAGACTGGATTTCTACCCCGCCCTTCACTACCCAAAGGAGTCTCAGAGCGGCTTACAAACTCTCCTTTTCCCTCCCCCTCCCCACAACAGACACCCTGTGAGGTAGACGGGGCTGAGAGAACTCTGACAGGAACTGCTCTTTTTCAAGGACAGCTCTTATCAGCACTACAGCTTGCCCAAGGTCATCCAGCCAGGTGCAAGTGGAGGAGTGGGGGAATCAAACCCGGTTTAGAGTCCACACACTTAACCACGACACCACAGGGGGGGGCGCTGCCCATTCCCCGGAGCCCCCCCCCTCAGAGGCGGCAGGGGGCGTTCACTGGCCCTTGACGGGAGGGGCCGATGCGGGCCTCACACGCCGGAGGCGCCGCCGCCGGAGCCCCGCTCCTTTTGTCCGCGTCCTCCGCCATTCCTTGCCCGGGGAGGGGTTCGCCTCAGCGGAGACCGAGCTCGGCGGGGAGAGGGGGCGCGGCAGAGGGATCCGGCCGAGGGGAGCGGCGCCCTCTTCCCAGCAGGTCCCCTCGGGCTGGCGGCGGCGGCGGCTTCCGGCCGGGGAGGAAGCGCCGCTGCGGGGCGGCCGGCGGAGGAGGACGCGGCCCTGACGGTGACCGTCACCTACGGTAAGGGCGGGCGGGGGCGCTCCGCCCGCAGGGACGAGGCCGGGCACCACCTGGAGGGGCTCCTGTGGCCTCAGCCGGCCGGGCCGCCTCCCCCTCGGCCGCCGCGGGGCAGGAGGCCCGGATGGGTCGTTCCCCCCCCGCCCGGGGGGCGTGTCCAGCAGGGCCGCGCGGGGTCCCGGTCCAGGTGGCCCCAGGAGGGGGGGCGGGGGGGGCGTCCAGGGAGGACCCGGGGGCGGGGTTGCCAGCCTCCAGGTGCGGGCTGGAGAGCGCCGGGGAATGCATCCGCTGGTCTCCGGACGACAAAAACGGTCACTTTGGGGTTGTTGTTTTTTTTTTTTTTACATTCCTTGACATTTATTTCAATCCTTTTATTCATGTAAAGCATTTATTCCGTTTCTCCTGGGGGAAAAAAATGGCTGCTTTGGAAGACGGGGCTGTACGGCATTGTGTGTCCCCCCCTCCCCCCGCGCACAGGCTCCACCGTCAAACCCCCAGGTGTCCCCAAAACCCAGAGGTGGGAAGGCTGCCTGGAGGGGAGGCTTGGTCAGTCGCAGTGATCAGGGTTGCCAACCTCCACCTGGGGCCTGAAGGTCTACCATGATTACAGCGCTGCTCCAGAGGACAGATATCAGTTGCCCTGGAGCCAGTGGCTGCTTTGGAGGGTGGATTCGATGGTGTTGTGCCCTGCTGAGATCCCTCCTCGGGCACTGCCCCCAAATCTCCAGGAACTTACCAGCCTGGAGTTGGCAACACTAAGCAATCCCCCCCCCCATAGACTCACCTTGGACCCCGCTGGCCCTGGTTCTTGTGGAGGTGACAGGGAGGAGAACCCCGGCCTGGCCGGGCCCATCGGCACCCATTCCCTGCTTGTGATGCTGATCAGTGCCCTAGATGGCTTTTCTAAGTCTTGTGAACACACAGACGATGATCTGGGAACGCGGCCCTGACGGTGACCGTCACCTACGGTAAGGGCGGGCGGGGGCGCTCCGCCCGCAGGGACGAGGCCGGGCACCACCTGGAGGGGCTCCTGTGGCCTCAGCCGGCCGGGCCGCCTCCCCCTCGGCCGCCGCGGGGCAGGAGGCCCGGATGGGTCGTTCCCCCCCCGCCCGGGGGGCGTGTCCAGCAGGGCCGCGCGGGGTCCCGGTCCAGGTGGCCCCAGGAGGGGGGGCGGGGGGGGCGTCCAGGGAGGACCCGGGGGCGGGGTTGCCAGCCTCCAGGTGCGGGCTGGAGAGCGCCGGGGAATGCATCCGCTGGTCTCCGGACGACAAAAACGGTCACTTTGGGGTTGTTGTTTTTTTTTTTTTTACATTCCTTGACATTTATTTCAATCCTTTTATTCATGTAAAGCATTTATTCCGTTTCTCCTGGGGGAAAAAAATGGCTGCTTTGGAAGACGGGGCTGTAGGGCATTGTGTGTCCCCCCCTCCCCCCTCCCACAGGCTCCACCGTCAAACCCCCAGGTGTCCCCAAAACCCAGAGGTGGGAAGGCTGCCTGGAGGGGAGGCTTGGTCAGTCGCAGTGATCAGGGTTGCCAACCTCCACCTGGGGCCTGAAGGTCTACCATGATTACAGCGCTGCTCCAGAGGACAGATATCAGTTGCCCTGGAGCCAGTGGCTGCTTTGGAGGGTGGATTCGATGGTGTTGTGCCCTGCTGAGATCCCTCCTCGGGCACTGCCCCCAAATCTCCAGGAACTTACCAGCCTGGAGTTGGCAACACTAAGCAATCCCCCCCCCCATAGACTCACCTTGGACCCCGCTGGCCCTGGTTCTTGTGGAGGTGACAGGGAGGAGAACCCCGGCCTGGCCGGGCCCATCGGCACCCATTCCCTGCTTGTGATGCTGATCAGTGCCCTAGATGGCTTTTCTAAGTCTTGTGAACACACAGACGATGATCTGGGAGACCCAGGTTCGAACCCTCACTCTGCTCTCTAAGGCCTAACCTACCTCACAGGGTTGGTGTGAGGCTAAAAGGGGGGGGGGTGAGGTGAACAGTGTAAGCGGCTTTGGGTGCCCACTGTGGAGAAAGGTGAGGTGTAAAACAGAGTATGTAATAAAATAATAAAATAGCACAGCACAAATCCTCTCCCCGCCCAGGTTTGCTCTTGTTTCTCCTTAACAAAGTTCATAACGTATATAGGGTGACCCCTGGGAGGGTGAAGTTGACCATTTGGTGCCTGTGGGGGGCTCAGCAGTCGTGGATTTGCTCTGGGAAAAGAGATCCAGGCAGGCCTAGTTTTGGGGAGGGGAAGGTTTTGACTTATCGGGGACGGTTGGTGTAGTGTGAGGTGAGTGTTAGTTCAGTGTTGTGTAGTGGTGAGAGTGCTGGGTTAGGACCTGAGAAACCCAGGTTCAAATTCCCACTATTTCATGGACTCTTGCTGGGTGAACTTCGGCCAGTCACACAAACTCTGCCTAGCCTACTTCACAGGAGAGGAGAACAATGTTAAGTTACTTTCTGTCCCTGTTGGAGAGTAATGCAGTATAGAAATGAGAGCCAGTTTGGTGTAGGTGTTAGGAGCGTGGACTCTAATCTGGGAGTACTGGGTTTAATTCCCCACTCTTCCACATGTGGCTGCGGGTGTGACCTTGGGTCAGTTACAAGTTCTCTCAGAGCTGTTCTCTCAAGGACAGTTCTGGAAAGAGCTCTCTCAGCCCCACCGACCTCCCAGGGTGTCTGTTGTGGGGAGGGGAAGGGACAGGAGTTTGTAAGCCGCTCTGAGACTCCTTCTGGTAGTGAGGGGCGGGGTATAAATCCAGTCTCTTCTCTCCTTCTCTTCTTAAACAATTCCGATTTACTGTCGATCCCACTGGGTGACCTTGATCTGATCACTGGGTTGGCTCTAGTAATCTATCCGCAGCTGGTGGGTGTGGTTCTTTTCTTTGTTGCTCTTAAACCCCCCCCCCCCCAAAGTCCTTTCTGACTCTGAGGACATTGAGAAGGGAGGCCACGGGAGACCCTTGGGAGGGTTATGCATGCCGGTCAGGAAGCGGAAAGGAGTGAAACTGGCATTCTTGCGGCTTCTGTCTGCAGAGCTGCGCTGGGGGAAAAGGGCGGTCCCTCCCTCACTCCCAGTTCCCTGGCTCAGACCTCCCACCTGCATGGCTGTTAGTCCTGTTGGGTCACATGATTCCGAACACCCACTTTGTTGGGGTCGGAAGCAATGCTCCCTCTAAGCTGTGGAGCCCAGAGATCAAAAATTCTACTTTGTGGGCCACCAGCATTAAAGCTGTGAGGAGGTGACTTGGCTCCTGCATAAGTTAGTTAGCCATCCTTCCTGAGCTAAGAAAAACGTGTGAGCCGGAGGCTAAAAAAAACTGTGAGCTGGCTCACACTAACACAGCTTAGAGGGAACACTGGTCGGGAAGGATTTCTGGAGGAGGGGGAAGAAGGGACAGATCTAGGATGGCCAACTCTCGGTTGGGAAACACCTGGAGATTTTGAGGGTGGAGCCTGGGGAGGGGCGGGACCTCGGTGGGCTATAATTCCATAGAGTCCACCCTTACCAAAGCAGCCCTTTTCTCCCAGGGAACTGATCCCTGTAGTCTGAAGAACTGTCGTAATTCCAGAAGAGCCCCAGGTCCCACCTGGTGGTTGGCAGCGCAAGCAAAGTTCCATGGATCACGGGCTCCAACCCAGTCTCTCTCCGCGTGACCTACCTCAGGGGATGAAATATGAAGCTAAAATGGAGGGGAGGGGGAGCCACGCACCCTATTCTCTGGGAGGAAGGAGAGAATTAAAACTGCCAACCTAGCAGTTCGAAAGCAAGAAATTGCAAGTAGATAAATAGGTACTGCTTCGGTGGGAAGGGAACAGCGTTACGTGCGCCTTGGTGTTTAGTCATGCCGGCCACATGACCACGGAAACGTCTTCGGACAGCGCTGGCTCTTCGGCTTGGAAACGGAGATGAGCACCTGCATCCCTAGAGTCAGATTCTACTGGCTTTCGAGCAAGGGGAACCTTTACCTTTACCTAAATAAGCCATAAGGCTGCAGCTGCCGACTTCCTGTCTATCAGGCTGCTGTCACAAGCGCAGGGGCCTGACCAACGGAAAGTGGTCATCTCCATGCAGACTGGCTCAGGCAGCAATCTGGATTTTGTTTTCAAATTGTGTTATGATTGTGGCTTTCAGGTAGTGAAAAGCATAATCTTCGGATCGCTTCTCAAGAAGAAGACAGCCAGCCGACAGTACGTGACATGGCCCTCTTAATTGAGCAAGTAACCGGAGTTCCGCTTTCTTTTCAGAAACTGATATATAAAGGTATTTAACATTTGCATATTGGTTGATTGATAGCCCTCTCACTGAGACTTAAGGTGGATTGCAAAGTCATATGCATTAATGGTCTTCTGTATTAAGTATTAAATATCCGTGTGCAACTAGGTGAAGATTGATGGTGGTGGTGTAGTGGTTAAGAACAGCAGGCTCTAATCAGGACTCCTTTGCATGAAACCTGCTGGGTGACTTTGGGCCAGTCACAGTTCCCTCAGAACTCTCTTGGCCCCCACCTACCTCACTAGGTGCCTGTTGTGGAGGGAGGAAGCCTTGTAAGCCGCCTTGAGACTTCTCAGGGTAGAGAAAAGTGGGGTATAAAACCCTTCTCTCCTTCCCTCCGAACACTTACAGTAATATTTTTCATTATTTCATTCCCAGAATAAATTGCAGAATGTTTAAAACTCCAAAATACATATTGTGCGTGGAAAGGATTGTGGCTCAGCTGGTAGAATCTCTGCTTGGCACGCAGAAGGTCCCAGGTTCAGCCCCCAGAATCTCCAGTTGAAAGGGCCAGGCAGGAGGTGGTGTGAAAGGCCTCTTTCTGCCTGGGACCCTGGGGAGTGGCTGCCAGTCAGAGTAGACCAGCCTGACTTTGATGGACCAGGGGGCTGATTTGGTATAAGGCAGCTTCATGTGTTCCTCTGTCTGTTCATGAGGTCGGCATTTCTGTAGAAAAAATATCAGCTACACTGTTAATTCCTTCTGCTTTGGTTTTTTTAATTAGCAGTTTTCCTTGAGCACAGTTTGTATGAAGATATACCCAAAGCTGCCTGATACTGAATCAAAGCCTTGGTGCTTCAGTGTCGAGTCCTCTGGCTGGCAGCGGCTTTCCCGAGCTTCTGGCCCATGAAAGGTCTTCCCCAGCATCGGCTGCACAGAGATCCTTTCACTGGTGAACCTGGTGCCCAAATGCCAGGTGTGGGCTCAATCACTAACGGACAGCTCCACCCCAAACATGTGAAGCCGCCTAACACGGAGTCGGTCCATGTAGCTTAGTGTTATCGGCTCTTATGGCCCCCGGTAAATTCCTGCTTTAACTGGAGAGGGCCAGGAAATGATTCTGGAAGCTTCTGCGTGTTGAAATTGTGACCCACCAGCTGTATATTGTGCTCTTGATAGGTATTTGACAGTGCTCCTGTTTCTGCAGTCCCAAACAAGCAGTGGAAATGGAAACGTGTAGAAGCCCTGGCAGGCAGCTATAATAGCTTGTGGAATGAGTTTGATTTGATGGCTCACACTACGTGGGGGTGCTCAGTTTAATGCGTCCAACTCACAGTAGTAGATGTCATTTTAGAAGACAGCTGTACATTATTTCTGCTGCTGTCATATTTGAGCCTTTCTCTCTACCAATTAGGAGTGCAGACTCTAATCTGGGAGAACCGGGTCTGATTCCCCACTCCTCTGCATGCGGCTGCTGGTGTGACCTTGGGTCAGTTACAAGTTCTTTCAGAGCTGTTCTCTCACGAGCAGTTCTTGAAAGAGCTCTCTCAGCCCCACCTACCTCACAGGGTGTCTGTTGTGGGGAGGGGAAGGGAAAGGAGATTGTAAGCCGCTCTGAGACTCCTTCAGGTCATGAAGGGCGGGGTATAAATCCAGTCTTCTCTTCTCTCTGGAACATGCAAGCAATTTATGAGAGTCATTACTGGCTTATTCAGCTTGTTGAGAAATAACGTGGGAGCAAATCCTTGGAAATACTTAAGCGTCAAAAGGTTATTATTTAAATTTTTGTTCTAATTTTAATCACCTTGACGCGATTCATTGTTGCTCGGTGCTTCAGAAGAAAATACCTAATCTGGACATTAGCAAGCAAGAAACCCTGATATTTAATAATGGATTACAACAGTTCCGGCATGCTGCTTACAGGAGTGTTCTAACCACCAATGGCGCTCTTTGTTCTGATGTCACAATGTGGCTTGGGAGACCAAGATGTGTCAGCTCACCTGCTGTGATGGTGCCGAGAGCCTGGGCAACCGAGTCCTAAGAAAAGCTGAACAGGTCTTAACGTGTTTTGAGATCATGAGCAGTTTCTGTTAAAGTCAGCACCTTCCACGGAAGATTGGCTTGAACTATAACTTTTAAAATGCTCTACTTGCTCCATAGACTGACCTGCTACTGCCCTCTTGTATTTCTTTGTCTGCCATTTCTAACTAAAGAGAAGGACCATTGACGTGGAAACATTAATACTTAGGCCCTCTTTGGAGCAATACTCTGAAAAGAAGGCTATAAGTTTATGTAGGCCAACCACAGACCTTGAGAGAAGAGCTGTTTTGGAGTTGTGAAATAATGGTGTGAGATTTCTCTCCCCCCCCCCTCCCTTTTAGGAAAATCCTTGAAAGAAATGGAACAGCCATTGTCAACGTTTGGAGTGAAAAACGGTTGTAAAGTTATGCTGATTGGAAAAAGGGTAACTTTCACTTTATGATGGGCTATTTCATCTTATGGGTGTTCAGTCAGTGGCAGTGTAAAATATGTCTTGAGCAAACTGCCAGGCGTAAGCAGTTGTTCTTTCTTTCTGGATGGGTAGGGAATTTGATCCCCCACTGGACTGGAAACTGCTCTTTCTTACTTTTCTTGCTAACAGAGAGAAAGATAAAACAAAATGGGCTGTGCAGAGGATCAATAAAAGCCAGAGGAACAGGAGTGTCCCCTGTAGCAGGAACACCAGAGCGGAGCTTAGTTATGAATGTTTATCTGTTGTTTATGCACCCCAAGGTGGACAGGTTATTGCTGACATGGAATATAGACAGTGGTGGTTAGCTCAGGAGCGATTTGCCCTTTGGTCTTCCATGTTCTGTCCGTTGGTTGTGAGAGAAATGAGCAGAATGGGGCCTCCCACCTGCCCTGTCTTGGGCCAGCGGGAGAAGCTGTGCGGGGTGGCAGTGATGTTTGGTTACATCACGCACCTCCAGGCAAAAAGCCATATGTGATGTCAGCTGATGCTCCACAAATCACGTCATTTGAGTCCAAGATCACCTTAAGAAACCAACACGATTTTTAGGGCATGAGCTTTCAAGAGTCAACGTGCCCTTTGTTCGATCTGACACTTGAAGCGTACACCCTGGAAACCTTGTTGGTCTCTAAGGAGCTTCTGGACTCAAATCACCAGCCCGGCTACCCTCTGGAACTAGAAACTCTATGGTAATACCTTATTTGGGTTTCCCTCTTTCTTTACTTTGTGCATTTCCCATTCTCTTTTCTGTCCCCTTTGTTTTCTCCTTCCCCTACTTTTTTGGGGGTTCTTACTGACTTTCTGAAAGTCATACCCAATGCAATATACAAAGTTCTTGAGAACGATAAAGCAATTAATATAACAACAAAGTTATATAACGTCTGTTTCTCTGACTACTCTTGTTCCTGACTCTTTGTGCCTTTACGTTTCTGCCAGTTTTGAAATATTTGATCTCCCAAATAAAAATGATCCCCACAAATAAAAATGGTTCCGTGCAGAGCACAGTTCTTAGATGGTGTGTCCCCCAACTGCTGTTTTCTCTTGCACAAGGGGCTTAACAATTCTGTGGGTAGAATAGATAGCAGTGGTAAACTGTAGCAAACCTGTCTTCATTATGCTGTTTCTCTATTCAGACAGTAAGGTTGTTTTGTAAAGATGAGAATGATGAATAATTTTACTATGCAGAGACAGAGGCCAGGATCCTGAACTGGAATAATAATGGATTTCTAGTAGTCTAATCCTAAACAAAGTTGCACTCCATCTCTGGCTTCAATGAACTTCGAAAACCAGAACTGTTCTTAGGTTAGCTCTGTATATCTTTATTAAGTGTACTTTTTAAAAGTCTTAACATTTAGCGTAGTCTTCTCTTGTAAATGTTTGTAATCTTACGAATGTAAAAGGGTGTTATCTTTTTTTGAACATAACACAGAACAGTCCTGAAGAAGAGACTGAGTTAAAGAAATTGAAAGATTTGGAGAAATCAGTGGAGCAGATAGCCAAAAAAATAGAAGAAGTTAATAAAGAACTTGGAGGTATTCAGAAAGTAAGTTGCTTTTAGTTACAACATTTCACCTTCTTTATACTTTTCAACTGGTTGATAGAATAGCTTCTTAGTTTGTAATTAGTTATTAACAAGAAGCGGGACCCGTGATATTCGCGGGGGGAAATATTCCTAAAGGCTCCCGGCTGCAGAAGCAGCTCAGCAGGTAAGCCTTCTCCCCCCCCCCGGGCCCGCTGATTTCCCCCCCGGGCACCGGCAGCGAGGCCTGAGCGCCTCCCAGCCGCCGGGCCCGTCGCAGAGTTCCCAGAGTGTTCTCTGCACATGCGCAGGAAAAGCTCTTACTTTTGGGGAGATTTAAATACCCCCTGTACAGTTTTTAAAAATTTTCAGATTTTTCTGCACTCCTGGGGATTGCCCCGAGTGTGCAGGAAAATCTCTCTGCCCCCCAAGTGCCCTCAGTGTGCGGATTTAGATATCCGCACGGAAGGGGCAACTTGGCTGTTAGATATATAGATTTACTATTGCAGATGGTTGACCCGTCTTGATATTCTTTGTGCCCTTTCTTTCAAACACTTCAGAGCACATTCATGGACTGTGTTGAGGGCTTGCCTGGCCAGAAGCGGGTGTGTGTGTATATAATAGAGATTCAGGAGGTTGGGAAGGGGTAGGTAGATCTTTTGTTTTCTGACAAAACGACTATTCCTAATATTCACAGTAGTCACTTATCCACTGGGTTGGGAGTGTTTGTCTTACCCTTGTACATTCAGTTTTGTGGAGGTGTTGGAAAGTTAGGAAATCTCCATTCCCTTAAACTTTAGTGCATCTTCATAGACTTTCACCCAGCAGAGCTTCCCGGCTTAGTAAATCTGGAGCCATTTCAGTTCTATTCCGCCTGGGAATTTTTGCTAATGTCACCCTTTCGAAACCAAGGAGAATCATCTAGTCCAACCCCTTGTACAACACAGGAAATTCACAACTACACCCCCCACTCCGCCAGTGTTCCCTGCTCTGTGCCCAGAGGAAGGCAAAAAACCTCCAGGATCTCTGCCCAGTCTCACCTGGAGGAAAATTTCCCTTCCCAATCCCAACATTGTGATCAGCCTTACCCTGGGTATATAAGACAGGCCATGAGAGCCGAGCGGTGACTCATGCCTTCCTGCCCTCCCTCTCATGATCTGCCTAAATTCACAAAATCAGCATTGCTGTCAGATGGTCATCTAGCCTCTGCTTAAAAACCTCCAAAGAAGGAGCACCCACCACCTCCCGAGGAAGCCTGTTCCACTGAGGAACTGCCCTGTCAGAAGTTCTTCCTAATGTTTAGCTGAAAACTCCTTTGATCTAATTTAAGTCTGAGCACAACAAATCCCGTACATCAGGTTACCTTAGAGCAAACAATTATAGAATCATAGACTTGGAAGGGACCACAAGGGTCATCTAGTCCAACCCCCTGCACAATGCAGGAAATTCACAGTGGCACCTAGAAATTTCAGCAGTGATTTTATTGTGTGTTTTGGCAGTTTTCAGTGGAAATACAAAGCTTGGATCCAGCCAGTTTTTACACTGTTTAGGAGAGACAGGAAGGGGTCACCTTTGACTTCCAAAAAAGGCTATGTTTGAGTTCTTGAGACCTCGGTGGACAAATGCCATGTGGTCAAGATTGAATGAAAAAGCTGTTTAGATAGAACCCAAACTTTTAATTATTGCATCAGAATGTTTTGTTGTATGACAGAAAAATGAATGTGCACGGAATTCTTGTTGTTCTTATGCATATGCAGATTAAGTTTATGCCATTCAACGATGGTGGATGAATTCATTTCTCAATCAGCTGCTTTCTGTATTGGCTCCAATATTCCATTAGCTGTGCATAGTTCTGACAGTCCATTCTGTATCATTTATATAACGTATATAGCATGCAGCAAATAACGCTCTTGTACTCTTAAGTAAAAAAAAAAAATATTTTTTCTATGCAGGGTTTTTTAGCCAAGAATCTTCAAACCGAAGCTCTTAGCCAGTTGGAGAAGCGAATCAAGGGAACTGCTGAGCAGTTTATGAAGATTCTGGAACAGATAGATGCCATTGTGAGTGAATATTAACGGGTCACAGTCAATGTTCCCTCTAAGCTGTGGAGTCTGGTGAGCAAGAATTCTTCTCTGTGAGCTGCCGGCATTAAAGTTGTGAGCCGAGCAATTTGGCTGCTGCATAAATTAGTGTGCTCTGGAGCCCTCCTTCCTGAGCTGAGACAAAAATGTGTGAGCCGGAGGTTAAATGTGAGCTAGCTCACAGTGACTCAGCTTAGAGGGAACACTGGTCACAGTGGGCAGAAACCCCTGTGGTTGTCCTGATCATCTGTGTCTGTTGACTGATACGGGAAGTCTGTCCCAGCTGGTCCTTCTGGACGGTGCTGCAGCCTTTGATACCCAGGACCACAGCATCCTTCTGAATCACCTCACTAAGATGGGTCTGGACGGTTTCATGTTATGTTGGTTTTTCTCCCACCTCAGGTTCTTTTAAGGGGGCACTAGGCTTCACTGGGCCCGCTGGCCAACATTGCACGGGTGCTCTGAGTTCAGGGTTGGCCCTCTGTGCTTTTTAACAGCTGCAAAGCAAGTGCTCGTTCAGCCACAGTGGCTCCCAGCTAGGGTTGCCAGGCCCCCCCCCCCCTGGCCACTAGGGGGCGAAATGGAGGGGGCAGGGTCCAGCTGGGAAACCCCTGGAGAACTGGGGATGGAGGCTGGGGAGGACGGGGAACCTCAGTGGGCTACGATGCCATAGAGCCCAACCCTCCAGAGCATCAGTTTTCTTCCCAGGGAATGGATGTCTCTGTGGTCAGGAGCTGAGCTGTAATTCTGGGGGATCCCCAGCTCCTCCCTGGAGGCTGACTGCCCAACTCCAAACTGGTTTCTGTGCTGAAATCAAGGCCCAGTTTTTGCCCTTGTAAGGCCTGATGGCTGGGGGCCAGAATATCTGAAAAACTGCTGCCATCCGTACCTACCTACCCTGGATCTGAGGTCCTGTTGGAGGAACCAGCCTTAGGATAGCTTGTCTGGGACCCCCTGGAAGGGATTTGTTGTTGTTGTTGTTGTTGTTTTCTCACGACTGTGCCATTCCCTCCCCTCTGAGGTGAGATTGGTGCATCCCCCGTGGGCCTTCCCAACCAAGCCAAGGACTTTCCCTTTCCTGAAGGCTTTGGGACAGGACTGAAATATAGGATCGTGCTCATGCCGTGCCGTGCTAAAACCTCCTTTCTGCTGCACTAGATCGGCAGGTGCAGCAGCCAATGGGGAAACCACACACACACCCCACTCACCGGACATGTTCTGTATTTTCAGATGGCTTTGTAAGTGCGACAGGAAATTGTTTTATATTTTAATGGACGTGTTAGAATCATAGAATCATAGAATGTTAGAGTTGGAAGGGACCTTGCAGGTCATCTCGTCCAACCCCCTGCACTCTGCAGGAGCATAGCCGAAAGAGAGACCCACAACATCCCCGAAAGATGGTCGTCCAGCCTCCGCTTGAAAACGTCCAGTGAAGGAGCATCCACCACCTCCCGAGGCAGTCTGTTCCACTGCTCAACCACCCTTACAGTTAGGAAGTTTTTCCTGATATTTAGCCGGTAACAACTCCCTTGTAATTTCCACCCATTAGTCACTTTCAGAACCCACTGAGCAGAAATGTTCTATAAATACAGAAATAATGTGCTCTTGGTCCCTGAAAACAATATCAAAATGTAGCTTGCCTTTTTTTTTTTCAAATTAAGCATAGCTTGGCTTTGTAATAGGGTTGCCAGACCCGTTGGTGGAGGCAGGGACCCCCTCACACACGACTGGACCACCCCACAACCAATCAGCTGGCCAGCAGGGGGGAACTTATTCCGAAAAAGAGGGAGATCCATCCACCGTGCAGCAGTGTGTTGATGTCGCTGCCTACATGACCCGGGAGGGACATCGTCGCATCTGCGATGTTGGGGTGATGCTCTGGTATTTGGGCAAAAACTCTGTGGTAGAAGTCGAATTTAGTGTTTTTGCCCAAATACCTGAGTGTTGCCCCAATGCCCCGGACATGGTGACATCCCTTCTGGGTCCCATGGGCAGTGACATGGACACGTTGCGGTACGTCGGATGGGCCTCCCCGCTGTTCCCAGTAAGCCCCTCCCCCGCGCCAGTGGCCAGGAGGGACCTGGCCAACCCTGCTTTGTAACAACAGGATGGTGACCAGTGGAAGGTACCGATAATCAAATCTGGCTGCTTTTTCCATTGGAAACCTGTGAAAAGGAGACAGACTCATAGAGGAGAGGAGAGAAGAAGAACAGACAATGAAGGATTAAATACTCATCGAGTATTCAGTGTAACAAAATGACTTTTACCAGGGCTCCCCTGGCCCCGTTTCAGTCAAAGAAGCCTGTTAAATGCTCATGTAATTTAATTTCTCCCCTTTCTCCATGATATCCATACAATCGCCCTGTGAAGTAGGTTAGACTGAGAGAGAATGACCAGCCCAGGGTCACCCAGCAAGATTTCATGGCGCAGCAGAGATCTGAACCTGGGTCTCCCAGTTAGTAGTTACAAGGTGGTGGTGGTGGTTTCCAATAAAAAACTGGAGAGTTCAACTATTAAGTTATTTGCAGATAACCCAGCCTGCAGTCTTGTGTTCTGAGTAATGAATAGTTGGATGAAGATATAATTTAATAGTCCTTACTAAAATGACTATTAATTATGTCATATTTTGTAGTGCTGAGGGGGAGAGAGTGCGGTGGTTCAATGCAAGCCACAGTAGACGAAGCCATCCCATCATGGCTGCCGTTCGTTATCGGCCTCCCACAGAAGCGCTCACTGACATGCCCAGTGTTGAGGATGTTTTTTTCATCCTGGTGAGTAAATTCTGTGGGGCCAGATGACCTTTCCTGGTGAGGCCGGCCAGCCCCAGTCCCCTGCAACAGCATCAGACATGCGCCTGCTGCTGATTTTCAGTCCAGTTAAAAACATTGGCTAGGACTGTCAGAGGAGCTGTGGTGGCTCAAGTGGTTAAGGCTGTGGAAGGTCGGTAGTTCAGTAGTTCGAGACCCGAGTGTGCCGCATGACGGAGTGAGCTCCCTCCCGTCTCTAGTTCCAGCTCTTGCCAACGTAGCAGTTCGAAAGCAAGAAATTGCAAGTAGATAAATAGGTACCACTTCGGTGGGAAGGTAACAGCATTCCGTGCGCCTCGGTGTTTAGTCCTGCTGGCCACATGACCACGGAAATATCTTTGGACAGCGCTGGCACTTCGGCTTTGAAACGGAGATGAGCACCGCACGGACTTGACTGGCTTTCGAGCAAGGGAAACTTTTACTAGGACTGTCAGCCTGGTGGGAGGGGGAAGAGGCTGCATTTTGCAGAGGTGGGGATGGAGCTGTGCAGGAAGTGCGTGTGTGGGGAGGTGTGCGGCCGGCAATGTTGCGTAGTAGCAGCAGAAGGCGGCGGCGGCAGCATCCTTGATGTGCTGTGGGTTTGTTTGTTTTTTGCATTTGTGTGTGTGTGTCCCCATGCCTGGAAGTCATGGCAACCTCTGGCAACTCCTACCGGGGCACGGAGGGCGTTCAGAGAAGCGGCTTGAGAGTCTGCCTCTGGCCTCCCAGCCCTGGTATTCTCTGGAGGTCTCCCAAGTACTTGCCAGGGTCGATCCTGCTTAGCTTCCGAGACCTGACGAGATTGGGCTGGCCTCTGCCGTGTTCTTAATATATAATGTGTTGTACGGTAGACCTTCACCACTCGGTGACTTGCCATTGCATTCCAGTCATGTGTTGTGGTCCCCAGCTTGCCTTCATCACAATTCTATTATCTTGCTGTTGGGAGGCAGCAGACACCCACACACACCCCGCCTCCCTCCCGGTATTTGCAGATTTTGCCATTCACAGTGATCCCACCCATCCCTGTCTCCCCCTTCCCTGATGCTATAGCCTTGTGCCTGATTACTCTGAACTGAGCCCCATCCAACTGAATAATGCTTGCTCTCGGCGAGCATGCTGTCTTGCGTGCACTGACCTGAGAGTAAACAGGAACATCAGAAGAGCCCTGCAAGTTCAGACCAGTGAGGGTCCATCTAGTCCAGCATCCCGTCTCACACAGTGGCCAACTAGTTCCTCTGGAGGGCCAACAACAGGGCAGAGAGGCCGAGGCCTTCTTAAGAACATAAGAAGAGCCCTCCTGGATCACACCAGTGGTCCATCTAGTCCAGCATCCTGTCTCACACAGTGACCCTGAGTTCCACTTTCATGGCAGCTTCTAGATAGTTCTATCTACAAATTTGCACTATTCACTGAAATGTGTATGTGAGGAGGAACTTGGCGTTCCATTAAGTTTCGTGCTGCTCTCTAGAAAACTAGGCTGTGTCAGCAACACAACCTGGAAACGTCTTAAAAGCTTTAGCATCCATCGTAAGTGAGAATTTTTTTTGCTTTGGCAATTCTGTGCAACCTGACCTGGACGGTGCAGGCCAACCGGATCTCCTCAGAAGCTAAGCGGAGCTGGCTCTGGTTAGCACTTGGATGGGAAACCTCCAAGGGAGTTCAGGGTTGCTGTGCCCAGGCAGGCAACAGGGAAACCCTCTCTGATCGTCCCTTGCCTTGGAAACCTTGTGGGGTCAACTATAGGGGTTTCCCACCACCAATTCTGTGCAATAATTGTATGGAAACTGTAACAGTTCGAATGTTAGAGTCTAATGCCCCTTTAATACCAACATAATTTTAGTCAAGGTGTGAGCTTTCGTTTACATGCACACTTCTTCAAATGTATAAGGAGCAACCGGCGTTGTTTTTTTATTATTATTATTATCATTATTATCATTATTATCATTACCTTCGATTTCATATACCACCCTAACCCGCTTGGGGGTCTCTGGGTGGTTTACATGGGGAGGTGCTAAGCATATTACACCCTAACTTAAGCCACATTGTACTGGGGATGGGGCAGCCTACCGACACCCAGGTGGAGGCTGATGTTCCTTCGGTTTGGCTTGGCTCTGTTCCCGGCAGTCCATTGGCTGGATGTTCCTTCTGGTGCTCTGGCGGGCCGGCACGCGATTAACATCCTCCTCCGGCCTCGGCTGTGTCCCTCAGGCTCCGCCGCGCTCGTAGATGACGTCATCGCGCGCCTCCACCTCCGCTGACGACAGTCGCCCAATGTTCCTGCTGCTGGCCACCAGGGATCACTCCTCTGGACCTGCTGCTGCTGCATGCTGCCGCCGCATCGCCTCTGTAAATCCTCTGGGTCTAGACGATGCATGTAGTAATGAATCCAAACAAATGGCAGTCCTCCTTTGAGGCAGCTTCCTGTACTGCTGTACAGTAGCTTGTGGAGACTGCTAGCTGGGCCCTTGAACTGATTATTTAGTGAATTAAGATTATACAGTTGACTCTGTTTTGCTAATCATCCCCATGGAGTGCCCACAGTGGGCTGCAAATATTGTGACCTGACAGAACATTTCAGTGTGAATTTGGGTACAGGCCTCCCTCTGCTTCTTTCAAGACTAAGCAGGGTTGCGGTTTCATTTGTTTTGTTGCAGGCTTTCCCAGAGAACTTCAGCGACTGCAAACAGAAGAAGAAGGGGCTAGTGAAAAAGGTTCAGGTAAGGCCTGTGCTGAATGGGGAAAAAATTCGGACGTAGAACTCCCAGACTTAGAGGGGGATCTACATCATCTCTGGAAGAAGAGACTATTTGTAGTAAAGTGTCAAACAAAACGCTAGTATTTAGAGGGTTGCATTTGGATGGCAGATCTCATTAACAGAGAGTGGTGCTATTTAAAACAAACCTATATGCCTGCTTGTCTCAAGAATAAATAGCTCTATTTGTACCCTGGCAAGTGTTTAGGTACCCTGCAGTAAAAGACTGGAAATTCCTTTTAAAATCGGCCTGTTTGGTTTCCAGATGCGTAGCTCCAGGAAATGTGAGCACTGGACTGAAAATCAGCCTCTCTTTTTGCAGACTGCATTTCTCCATCCAAAGCATCACGGGCCACTTTTTAAGTTTAGAAAAGCTTAAAGAAATAGCAGTGCAGTATTAAAGGAAACGTTGACAAGAGGAACTGCAAGAGTCACGCTGCTGTGCTAACACATCATGTTAGAACAGGGGTCCCCAACGTGGTACCCGCCAGCATCTTTCTGGCCACTGAAGATCTGATTGGTTATGCCGTTCAAAATGACATTGTTTCAGTGGCAACTTGGATTTATTTAGCTGACCGGCTGAAGAAGTGAAAGGTCAGGTTGGAGGGAGCACCTCTTCCCCAACCTATCTCGTGATTGGTGGACTCTGGTTACTGGTGCCCCAGACCTTAGAAGCAAATTATTACAAAGTTATTTTGTGATTTTGTTGCTGTTGCTCAAAAGCTAATCAAATTCAACTCTAGGGGTTGGTGCTCATCTGTTTCCAAGCCGAAGAGCTGGCACTGTCCAAACTGAGGCGCATGGAACGCTGTTACCTAGGGCTGCCAGGTCTGGATTGGAAAATACCTGGAGACTTTGCGGGTGGATCCAGGAGAGGGCGGAGTTTGGGGAGGGGAGGGGCCTCAGCATGGTCCAATGCCACAGAGTCCCCCCTTCAAAGCAGCCATTTTCTCCAGGGGAGCTGATCTCTGCCAGCTGGAGATCAATTGTAAAAGTGGGAGATCTCCAGGCCCCACCTGGAGGCTGGCAACCCTACTGTTACCTTCCCACCGAAGTGGTACCTGTTTATCTACTTGCAATTTCTTGCTTTCAAACTGCTAGGTTGGCAGGAGCTGGGGCCAGAGACGGGAGCTCACTCCGCACCAGGGTCTCGAACTGCTGAACTACAGACCTTCCGGTCTGCAGCTCAGCGTCTTAACCCCTGAGCCACCACGGTCTATTTTGTGATTAGTCATTGTGGGATCTAGGCATTCCCAGTACTTTTGCGCCTGTGGACTCCTCAGGAATTCTTCTGACATGGGGTGGTGGGTGTGACCACAAAAACGGCTGCTCCAGGAGGTGGAGCCCAGCACAAAACGTCATGGGGGTGAGGTCGCGCATAACTGTTATAGCAGCGCTTCAAAATTTCAGGCAGAAGTTGCTCAGCACAATGCCTTTTAAAACGAGCATACGTTTAAAGATATTTTCTAGCATACACAAAGGTTACTTTCATTCATGCCGGGTAGATCTTTGGGCTCTGGTGGCAGCTGCTGCTGCTGAAGCAAGTTTTTTAAAAAATCTGCACAACCAATCAGATCTCCAGTGGCCAGTCAGAAACTCTGCTGGCCACGAGCCCCACCTGGCCCTAAGGGAAAGGTTTCCCTTGCTTGAAAGCCAGTCGAATCCCACTCTAGGGGGCGGCGCTCATCTCCGTTTCCAAGCCAAAGAACCAGCACTTTCCGAAGACTTTTTCCGTGGTCATGTGGCCAGCGTGACTAGACACTAAGGCGTACGGAACACTGTTGTCACCCACTACCTATGTATCTACTAGCAATTTCTTGCTTTCGGACTGCTATGTTGGCAGGAGCTGAGGCCAGAGAGGGGAGCTCACTCCGTCACGTGGCACTCGGGTCTCGAACTGCTGGCCTTCCGGTCTGCAGTTCAGCGTCTCAGCTTGGTCAGGGCCAGGAAAGGTGTCAGTGGCACCACGTTTGGGACCCCCGGTCTAATTCAGTAATATGCTGGGGTTTGTTCTTGCCACTTTTCCTATGGTAAAAATATCACTCTTAGTTTTTTATCTATAGTCTTCGGTTAAATCTCCCATTTAATTCTAGCATTTTGTTTTCAGGCTTTTCTTGCCCAGTGCGATACAGTGGAAGGAAGTATTGGTCAAGAAATGGATAAGCTACAGTCGAAGAACATGGCTCTGGCAGAATGAGGCACTCCTTTAAGTAACTAAAAAGAAATAATTGCTCTGTGAGCAAGAAGAAGAGTTTGCTCTTGATTTTGGAGCACCTGTGTTAGTGTTCAAAATTTTATTTTACGCAGAGTCCAGTAAAATTATTGCATGTTGGTCATTGCTCGCTGGTCGGTGTTCACTCCTTAAAGCTCTTCTTTCCACAAAAATTCTGCAGTGGTTCTTTAATATATTCAAAACCTGCCTTTGTGTGGTCAGATATGCTTCAGCAAACTAAATGTTGCATTTTATAAACCATTCAGAGCAATAAGGAATGTAACTATGATGCTGTTGAGTTCTTCTATGTGTATTCGGATGTAGGAAAGATTTAACTGCGGCCAGGATTCTGTCTGTCTGACTTTCAGAATGCCTAAATTGGAACGTACTGTTAAGATGTCCTGTACTTCAACTAGTGGCTGTACATCAGTAAGCTTGATCCTAATCTGTACGTGATTATGATACACAGTTTTGAAATCTCAAGTACACTTTCCCTTGGAACGATGGTGGAAATCTAAGTGGGTCAATTCATCATGTCAAATAACTTGGACGATCCATCATAAAGAATTTGCCAAATTCTTTCAGACTTTTCACCTCCCATCGGGGCCATAACACTGGCTTTTAAGGCCGAAATGGAATTAATTTCTTACAGATAAGTATTTATTGACTATGACAGTAGTGGCAGCACATGTTTCCAACATACAGCTTTAAATGCGCATAGGTCTTCAGGATCTCACTAATGACAGCTGCCATTTGCTTGTTCTGACTTGGATGGCCCAGGCTAGCTTGATCGCATCAGATATCATAAGAACATAAGAGACGCCAATGTTGGATCAGGCCAAAGGCCCATCCAGTCCAACACTCTGTGTCACACAGTGGCCAGAAATACCAGTGCCATCAGGAGGTCCAGCAGTGGGGCCAGGACATTAGAAGCCCTCCCACTGTTGACCCCCCCCCAAGCACCAAGAAGAAGCTAAGCAGAGTCAGCCCCAGTCAGTTCTTGGAGGGGAGACCACCAAGGGACTCCAGGGTTCTTATGTAGAGGCAAGCAATGGCAAACCACCTCTGTTTGTCTCTTGCCTTAAAAAACTCCAAGGGGTTGCCATAAGTCGGCTGTGATTTCATGGCGTTTTGTACCACCAAGTGTGTCTCCAAGCACTTAAAGCCTAGACTTAGCAGCTTGCCAGTGTTCTTGCTTTCCCACAACCATGAATATAGTTATGCCAACGTGAGACATAGTGCAGTATGGCTGGGCGCAGCATAAGGGGCACCAGATGAAGTCAGGGATCAAAGAGAGCCTTAGCTAGGAGAGAGAGAAGCCAGGAGCTCAAAACAAAGCAAGGATGCATTTTTTTGGAAGCAGAGTTGCAGAAATGGGTGTTTACCTTGCTGTAGGAAGAGCTTCTCCGTGGCTAGCAGAAGCTGTCACTGTACAGAATGGAAAACAAGATACTGAGTTTTGTGTGCATAATGTAAAATACGCTGTCAGTGTGTTTTGCATCCTCTTTGAAGTGTTGTGCTAGGTTGCTTGTCATTTTTTAAAGATGAGATTTACACCTGTATTTCAAAGCAATAATACAACTAGTGAAAAAACAGTTCCTTGTAATTATGGAAAAGAACGTCAGGAACGGAAGGCAGGCAAACCTAGATTTTTCCTTCTGCAGATGTATGCCCTTCTGTTCAAATATTGTATCAGACACTTTCAGCGTCACACATTGTCAGCATCTTCCCTCTGTTGCCTTACTGTTTGAAATATGTTTGCTTGTATTATGGCGTTCATGGGAAATGGGTTGCCTTGTGTGTGCATTTTCACCGTGGATGGGTGACAACTTCAGAGCAGGTGATGCTAACATGAGTTTCTTCTAGAGATGCAGAGTAGCTCTGGATGAACCGATATTTCTCTGTACCTATATTTTATTTTGCTCTCACAGATGTGTTGAGTTTAAAAGGATAAGCTGTTAAAGATGTTCGATGTACAAAGGGTTCCATGGCTACCAAGTTTTTGAGAAGTCATATTTTACTATTGCAAAGTTTTTAACTTCTCTCAGCGTTCCTCTTGCTTATTTCCCCATATTACAGATGGGGAAATTGAGGTTAACATATGAATGGTTTCATCCACACACTCATTTCATTGAAAAGACTGAGAGAGAGGTCAACTGAGAGGCAGGTCATCTGTGAACAAATAAATGTTGCCCTCAATATCTCATCTGTAAAATGGGATGGTTTTTTAAAATTGAAACATTTAGTAGTTTGATTACTAAAATCCTGCTCTCCTTTTCTGTAATGTAAATCTGGAAAACATGGTTTTTACTTGATTGCAAATCAATCTTAATTTAGCTTTGACCGTGTATGGATATTGCGTTATTGTGCAACAGTGAACAAAAATAAGTAAAGTACAATCAGTTCTGTTTTGTGTTTCTGGACTGGTCAGTACTCACATCAGTTTAGTATACTGATTTGAAATTGTTACTCTAGGGTAGGTAAAAGTAAAGGTTTCCCTTGCTCAAAAGCCAGTTGAATCCGACTCTAGGGTTGCGGTGCTCATCTCTGTTTCAAAGCCGAAGAGCCAGCGCTGTCCGAAGATGTTTCCGTGGTCATGTGGCCGGCATGACTAAACACCAAGGTGCACGGGACGCTGTTACCTTCCCACCGAAGTGGTACCTATTTATCTACTTGCAATTTCTTGCTTTCAAACTGCTAGGTTGGCAGGAGCTGGAACTAGAGACGGGAGCTCACTCCATCATGCGGCACTCGGGTCTCGAATTGCTAAACTACTGACCTTCCACAGCCTGCAGTTCAGCGTCTTAACCACTTGAGCCACCGCAGCTCCAGGTAGGGTAGAGTTTAATGTAAAAAAAGAATTCTGCTGAGGGGCTAATTCCCTTCCTCCTGCCCACCTTTTCTAAGATCCTGGTCTGAAGAACTAGAAAAGCTTTAATCTCCTATGGGGGGGGGGGGGGGAAGCACCTGCGCAGT